CATTATTTTTAAACTAGTATAGTGCTTCCTCGGTGATGGAAGTTGCTTTTCTAAGTAGAGTTTTGCTCTTCATTTCAATTCCAGAGTCTTTGTTTCTGGATGCTGAAATCTTCTTTTCGGACAGAACCAATAGAACACTCTTGGTGGTAGGACAGAGTAGATCACAGAATCCCACTAGCAGCACGTTCTGACACCCAAGTTAGACTTATTCAACGTGGCTTCTTTCCATCTTTCCAACTTACACTGCACAGAGGGGCTACAAACGAAAAGTTTGATTCACATCTTTTTTTATTCACTCAGTTTTTAGAGACTAATTACCCTTGGGGCAAATATTTTAGAAGCTAAAAGACAAACAACTAAAATAAGTGATCAGGCCTAATCAAAATGGCTTAATACCATTCTTTTTTTCTTCTGAACATCTTACTTAAGTGGTTTATGAGAGCTGTTATGTTAGCTCAGGGTTCCCACCATGTACATCAGTTTGTTTATAGGCTTTAGATTAAGGCTTTTTCAGAGTATTCTGAGGGTATTCAAAAGAACCTACATTCTCAAGAAAAGGTACGCAGTATTTTGTAATATCTGCGTTTTCTGTTCTCTGCACAAGATATTCTCACCTGGGTGCACCTGGACAGAATAGCATGAATGAAATGAGAATGAAGGAAATGAGACTCTCCTTCAGTTAGACCTTCAGAAAAGCTTTTGTTTTCACGATATTTGTAGTGTAGATTAGCATCATCAACACTAATTTGGAAAAAGAGCCCAGGTGTAGTCAGTAGAGGCTTAAATCTTCTTTGTAATCAGAAAACAATTCCTTGAGACCTACAGCTAATACAAATAATCCATGCTAATCTTCTCTGTATCATTCCAATTTTAGTATATGTACTGCCCAAGTGAGCACTACAATTCCAGAATTTTCCTGAATGTCTGTTTTCCATATGATCTTTATATTCAATTTATCCATTCTAAATAATAAAAATCCTGTTTGGTATTGTTATTAGTGCTGTATTACATTTATAGACTAAGTTAGAAAGAATTAGCATTTTATGGTTGCTGTATAAGAACAGACTTTTCCTATGTCAGAATAGGGAATACCTTTTCATTTACCTACATCTTCTTTTATGCGATCACTTCCATTCAACTCTCCCCCTCCCCTAAATAATGCTGCTTATTACATTAGGCTTTAAATGTCTGAAGTTAAAAGACACTACGGATGTGGCTGGACTTCCTGGATCTCTGAGCCTCTATATCCTAATGCACCTACTTAACAGGGCAAACAACTTTTTAATTCTATTTTTCGCAAGCTTAAGAACTCATTTCTCTTTTGCATAATAAATCCAGATTTCTGTGTTCAGATTTCAGGATCCTCTTGTAAGGACTCCTTTTTGTTTTAGCCTGAATCTGGTGTTAGTAGCTTCTGTTTTTCTTCCCTTGGCTACAGTAAAATAAAGCTATATCCCATTTAGCTTTGCTTATTTTGCTTCTCAGTGTTTTGAATTGGTTCAAATAAATTCAAACATAGATGACAGGGACAAGGGCAGTGTATGCATTGCACACCAACCAAATCTCTTGTGCTTTGGCTTTTGACCTGGACAGGAAACAGGTAATGGTGCTCCATTCGAAGTTGGCATTTGATCTTTCTGCTTTGAATGTGGGTTTCAGTGTGACCCAGCTGCCATCCTTACTGTGCTGCTTACAAGACAGATTTGTTTGTTCTTCTGGTGGTCCACAGTATTTTCAACATTCTTGGCCAATACCCTAATTCAATAATCCTTCAATTTTCTGTATTCAATGTCCAGTTT